CACTTTTTACTTATATTTGATGTTTGAAAAAGCTCCAAAAATGTTTTTATTGAGTTGATCTAAAAAAATACTATAGAAATAAAAATAAATTTAGATTAAAAAAAATTGAACTCTGATCTAGTTTATAACAAGAGCTAGGTAAAAGGATGCCTCAAGGTCTACTAAAAATGGTGTAGCCACTAAAATGATAATGTAACTATACACAATTCATGCTTATGCTGGCGACCGTGTTATCTCTGCGGTTTTTGCTCAATTACCATCAGAAACATGTTTGGAAAACTTAAAATTTGGTATGAGCATAGTGTGCACCAATCTATGTGCGTCAACAAACCAACTCCTTACTAAATTATCTGGTTTATAGTAAAATCGTCACCTATGGCCGAAGTTACGTGCTGTTTTTTTCTTAAAGTCAGAACAGAAATTTTTCAAGCTACTTTTCAGATGAAGGCAATTTGAATTTTTCTTCTACTTCATTATCACTTCATTCTAACGAAACCTCGACTAGAAAAAGCGAAGGTTTTTTTGATCAACAAAGCGACATGATCGAACAACAGCTTACCAAATTTTAAAAAATGCAGCCGCGATTTATTTTATTAATTTTTCATGTTAGTATGAAATTTTTTTCCCGACGTCATGCCTAACTTAACATCAACAATATAGCACAATCAAAAAAAGCAACGTGAAATGAGCTGATTGTCATTATGTGGAAGTCAGTTATTACCATTTAGATACTCTAAATAAAATAAAGTTTGTTGCCTCTACTAAAGAATTAATGTTCTCCACGGTTAGATACAGACCTTCCTTTTTGATTATAATGGAAGATGATAGATAACATTAATTATAGTCTGAAAAAATTGCAAACCACCAAAAAATAAAACAATGTCTTCATCTATTCATAAACGAAAATATCTTAAAATTGAAACTAAATTGTTTTAAACAGTTGGTCCAGAAACAGCAATATTACGAGAGCCTATACGGAGACTCGTTGTTGGGATCAACAGCAGGTTTGAAACAGCGGATCTCAGGTATGCTCAAGAAGCTTTTGAAGATCTTTTTTTGAACCTGTCAGACAAATAAGATGGAGCTAGACCGTTGATAGACTTGTAGACAAGTGTTGAAATTTTGAACAACACTCTTTTGTCGACGGTTAGCCAATGAAGTTCCTTCAATATTGGAGACACATGGTCGTATTTTATAGCTCCAACAACAACTTTTGCGGCTCCATTCTGTATTGACTGCAGTACAGCCATAGATCGATCAGGTTAGTCATAAAACAAACTGTTGCAATAGTCGACGCGTGAGTGCACAAATGCATGAACCAACGTCTGCAACGTGGACGCATCTAGGGGTCGTCGAATTTGATTGATTTTCCTGATTTGAAACATGCATTCGGCTGAGAGCTTCTTAATGTGTTGTTTCATTGACAAATCTGAATCATATATATATATATATATATATATATATATATATATATATATCATTAGATGGAGTGTTATGCGTATGCAGATGGTTTGATGATTTAGCTGAATTTGACTGAAATATCAGTTTGCTGCAGTAAATATTTGGATGTCACAAAATGGAATAAAATTGAACAAAGATAAAACCAAGTTAGTGCTAATTGGTACATGGCAGCAGACATCAAAAATACATCGAGATGTATTAGAAATGGATGATGCCATTGTTCAATTTGAATGATCATTCACAATTCTGGGCTTCACACTTGATGCTAATCTGACCAAGCAGGATCATATACGGGTGTTGTAAAGTCATGTTGTTTTCATCTACGTCAGTTGCAGCGCATTAAGAGATTCGTCAGCAAGCCCGCTTTGATGGCATTAGTTCATTCATTTGTCCACTCACGTTTGGACTACCGCAACAGCCTACTGTACGGTGTTTCTGCGAATGAAATTGCACTGTTGCAATCTGTACAGAATAGGGCAGCTAAAGTAGTAATGGGTGAGCGAAAGTAATGATTATGTGACTCCATTGATTAAGGATTTGCACTGGTTAGTAATTGAAAAGAGGATTGTTTTTAAAATTTGCTTATTAATGTTTAAGTGTTTAAATGGTTTTGGCATCACGATATCTGACGGAGATGTTTACACTCAAAGATATGACTGCTCAGAATTTTGTCTTGAGATCAAA